GTGCTTGAAATTAGCCTTTGATGTCGAGTTCTTGTTAATAATTGGACGCGGCGGCGTGGAGATAACCGTAAATGCTCTCCCATGGAGCACGCGATTGGAGTTTACCACAGAATCACAGAATGGTTTGGGTTGGAAGGGGCTTTGAAGGTCATGAACAATCCCCCCTGCCGCGGGCAGGGACATTTTCCAACTAGACGAGGTTGGTGAAAGCCCCATCCAACCTGGCCTTGGACACTTCCAGGGGTGGGGCATCCACAACTCTGGGGAGACTGTTCCAGTGCCTCACCACCCTCACGGAGGGTGAGTTCACAGGGTTCAAAGATTTTTGAAAATAACTTGCAGTTCAACCGGTGCATTTCTAAGATTAATTAAAATCATACAGAGGAAAAAAGCTTTCCTTTCCAAGCCTAAAGCTTTCCTTCCTAAGCCTGACTGATACCACTTTCTTTTTTATTTACTTGTGGTGTTTTGACTCTGTTGTCTGTGATCAAAGGGGAGACACTGAGGGATTGTCTTGTCTTCACAAATTACAACTGTAATTTACAAATTACAAATGTAATTTACTGTCATACGTAAATCAATTATCTGCTGTAAATAGGACAAGGAATGTAGTTTGCTTTATACTTAAAATAATGATAAAATATCTACATTACCCAAGGACACAGTATTATGCCATTTCCCTACTGGCAATCCAACCCACAGCTAGATCCTTTCCACATCTGTGAAGATACAGTTCCCACTCCCAGCAATGCTCTTGTGTCGAACAAGTCACTGTGCCATTTCACTTTTCCTCCTTCTCTCCTCATAAACAGGAATAGTGATATAAGCCTGCTTTTTAAAGTATGCACAGTCACTGAAGAACTACAGAGATGATAAGTTGTCTTTTTACTAATTATTTTGGACGAAATTCTTTATGAGGTTTTACAAATAGCACACAGCCAATTGAAAGAGGCACTTTGTTTCAGATTCGTGTTTTATTCAGGCAAGCTGCCAAACATGCCTCAGTAAAACCTATATAGGACTGCAAAAGTATTATGGAAAACGGCTTCTTTGACATTGTTAATAGTATACTTAACATTACAGCAAGGGTTTTACAGGGGATTTCAAATTCTGCATTGATCCTAAAATCAGCAGAAGTAAACAGGAATGCCTAATAAGGGAAAGAATTTCCCTAATCCAAACCACAGTTATCATTCCAGCTGAAACAAAATTTTGTATTTTCTATAAGTGGCTACTGTGAGGAGAACTAAGCTGCAAAGAGATGTATTTTCAACTGACATTTGATAAACAAGATGAACAGGGGTGATCTATTGATAAAAAGTCTTCAAACCAGACTGATCACTCCAGAACACATACTTTTCTAAAGCAGACATAGAGATGGAAAATGCTAAAAATAAAAGTATGAGAGATTACTGCCTGCTTTGTTAGTGTGATATATTGTATTTTGTTTACTACAGCATTGCCCAGCTGGTCTAATGGCTCACATATCCAAGAAGAATTGAGCTGTCAGTATTAAATGCAAGCAAACTGTTGTTTCCAAACTGTGTTGCGTATATTACAAATTTATTCCAGGCAACTTTGTAGCAGTGTTTGAACTGGAACAAGACCGGGAGCTGCTACCAGAAGCATGTTTGCAAAGCTTTGACCTCTTGCATTCTCTAATATTACTGTACAGATAGAACAACCAAAAAGCTTGATATTGACCTATTTTAGTATTTGGCTGAAAATACTGTTTATTTTAAAATCATTATGTATTTCTTTCAACAAATTCTTCTTCTCGTTTAAGTAACTTTGCATACATTTTCTTTGCAACTACTAGAAGTGAGGTTAAACATTTTATTTATTAACTTTGAATTAAAACAATTCAGCACATTCTAAACACAGGGCTGTAAAATTAACAGTGGTTTCAAATGTCAAATGTTTCTCCAAAGAGTTTTATTATTTTTTTCAAAACAATTGTTTAACTTTCCCTATGAAAATGTGCTAAGATAATAAGCTTTAGAAAAAAACCAAAAAAAATATATATGCTAAGTAAAGATATGCTAGAGTCTAAAAGGGTAAAATGTGAGCAATTCTAGCCTAGGCAAGATAGTGAGGCTCTGGGAAAGTGTCTGCTTTTGTTCCTAGTACAATTGTTTAGGGTAGATTTTTCACCTCTCCTCAATTATTTACTTGTCAGACTAGCTTAATTTGGTTTTGGTTCTCAGTTTCTAAAAACTAAGTGAAATTAGCTTCTAGTACAATCATAGACACATTTCTGGAATAAGATGAATGTGAAAACTTTTTGGAGTCTTATCAACTGTGACTTGCCATGTTTGTATTGTCATTACAGGCTGCTAGCCCTCAGCAATTGCTGGCGATTGATGAAAGCAATTATCCTGGTAAAACCTTTGAGGTCTCCCCAAAGATTTATTTGCTGTATCCCAAGTCTATCTTCCCTTTATCCACAACAAATGTTATTTCAATTATTTTGCCTTTAACTGCTAATGCAGAAAAATCAGGGGCAGGAGAAAGGGTGTAAGTAGAGAATGAGGATTTTCTGATGAAAAAAAAAAAAAGACCCTGTTGCGTAGCAGCATTTTCCACTTGCTTTTGTAACAACAGTGCAGGGAGCAAGTTCTGTTTAGGGCTCTTCCCCAAATCACTGGTCCCACAAAGATGGTTGGCCTCTTACTGCATATTCCATACAACAGCAGCCTAAGATGCAAAGAAAGATGAATAGAAAATTGAAAGGGAAATGGAGGAAAAGAAATAACAAGAGAAAAAGGAACTGTTCCTCTTGTACTCGAAGGGAAGATAACAGCAGGAGACAGGCCAGAGAAATGCCCCTATAATTTCTGCTGCCAGGAAACAAACACTTAAAAAATATCCAGCCACTGAAAACCCTTTCCTTCATGGAAACCATAAACATCTCCCTTTCTGTGACATTCATACCAAATCCAGTAAAATAATTTATCAATTCCCAAGTCATGTTAAAACTACAGTAAAGAGTACCATAAAGCAAAACGAGAAACAACTAACAGTGACATGCTTACTGGGATCTTTTTGGGTTTTTATGCAAGTCAAATCAATACATAATAATCCTACAGATATTCCTAAATTGTTACAAAGGAACTATTGCTTAGTAGTAATGAAAACCACAACACTTTAGACCCCTTGAACAAGACCACATTACTGTTATGCCAAATGGGGCAGTACCTTTGAAAAAGATGCCAGATTCCCCTTACATTGTGATATTTTTTTTTTTATTGCAGCTGTTCCTAGAATGTGTATATCACACGTCTGTTTGTCTTCAAACTGTTATAAATGAACCACAAACTAACGTGGACAGTGTTTTTAGGCAAGCACATAGTGGAGAAAAACGTGGACACTTTTTCTCAGTTAGTGAACGTGGTAACTGAATGAGCCCAACGACCAAATCCAGATCTGGTGAATGCCCAAGTGACTGTGGTGAATTGTGTTTCTACTTTCCTGTCTGAGTCGTACATCTCTCCACCTCATGCCAGCTCTCTGAACTGAAACTACATTTCTCACAGGACCACCAATATTCCTTAACCTTATGTCCCCTGCCCTCTTCATAGAATTTTTCCCCTCTTCTGTGTATGTCCTGCAGTGGCAGGACAATGTACTTGGAATGCATCATATTGACATTTTTGAACAATGTAGACGTCCATCTCCTTGTGGCCCAGTTACACCTCCAGGTGTCACTGAGTACATTCAGTCCTGGTGCACGTAGAAGCTGGAACATCCTTGCAAACACGAGAATAGCACACAAAGACAGTTGCCTGAAAGAAAGTGCCCCATTGTCTAAAAAAGAAAGGTAGCTCTTCCCTTTTCAAACTTATTTAAAGGTGAGTCACAGTGATCAAGCAGTGAGTCACACTGTGGAAGACAGAGATTTCTCCCCCTTGGTCTGAATACTGTGCTCTAATCACAAGCCACTAGGTCATCTCAGTAGCAATGGATCACACCTTCCATGCTGCAGCTAAAAATCTTGCTAAGCCTCTTTAGTATCCAGTGAATAGGTTTGCTTCAGTAGTTCATTCACTCTGCACAGCCCCAGAGAGCAGCAGAAACACACTACAGCTTTGCAAATAAGGCTTGTGCTTTCCACTGCTCTGTTCACATCTGTTCATCCACTGTCCTTTTCTTGGAGAATATTGACAGAATAGTTGTAAACAGGTGAAAGCAAATTGGAAGGATTAGTCTTGAATGGGTTCTACTCCTCTAGCTTAAACAGAGACAGGCTCAAGGCCACTGGATGACAAGTTTATGTTGTAACGGGTCTGTTCAGAAAGGTAAAGCAAGGCTCTCTGATTACACATCAGGACTTACAGTTAGAGGAGTGCTGGCCCTACTATTTGTGTGGCACATTATGTGGTTTTGTGTTTCAGCAATTCAAAACAGATGTGACTGTGATGAAAACGATCTCATGGTTCTTACTTCCTATGTTCACTTTGAATTTTCAATCCAGCTTTGAAGGAGATCCAAAATCTGGAGTACATCAACTACTGATATTATGAATTGCCTTCTTAATGAGCAACAAACAGGACACCAACAATTGTATAGGTCATTCTTATTCACTCAGAGGTGTAACTTCTTTATGTACAATCACTGTAAATAACCACTTTAAATCTTAATAAATCACCTTGCTGACTGCTGAAGAGGATTTACCTAAGATTGGAAGTGCCCAGATGATACTCCAAGCTGTTAAAATGCTACGCTTTTAGTTAAATTATATTTCTTTCTCTGTGACCATATTTCTTCCTGTTTTACACAGGAATTAGAAAAGGAAAATTTTAAGTCCTCTTTTTATCCCCCATCTAATCACACAATGAGATTTGCACACACAAGGATGACATCTGTGTGGATTTACTTTTGCTTCAGAAAGTTTTCCTTCTAAAAGTCACTAAGCTATTATGAGAAGAAAGTGTGGATGTGGAATATGGATAGTGCTGGTTTCCAAACTCAATGAAATCTGTTCCTGTAGACATAGAAAAGATGCTGCAATAGTGTAATGTATTTCTTTCCTTCAGAGAACTGATACACTGCAAGTTTACATTTTCATTATTTATTTATACATACTGTCCCCGACATTTACACAAAAATAAATATAAAAATTAAGAAAACATTCTTGATATTATACAGCTCAATAGAGCAAGAAGTTATTCTAGAATGGAAATATCTGTAATATTAGTTATTATAATAACTAATTTTCCTTTCATGAATTTGTTCTTCTGTCAGTCAAGCAACCTGGAAATTGATGGGAACTGTCTTTAAAACTGAGGAGATTCTGGCATACCAGTGATTTTAAAAGAAAACTGGATTTGCTCAAATACCATGCTTCTAAAAAATCTTGCCTTTTTTTTTTTTTTGTAATAATTTACTAACTAAAGTATGACTCTGTATCTTCTATAAATAGAACATCATAATCAAGATACTCCAGAATTATATTTCCTCCGTTGTACAGTGGATAGTCTTTATCAGATAGCCAGTGTTCCAGTGTATGTTCAAATGGCAAGGCTTCTCCAGAGGCAGTATGGCATAATCTCAATTTCTGTAAGACAAATAGCACAGAAGTTAACATCAAGATTTGCCTATCCAAGATGAAAGACATGGGGTGGAAGAGGGACCAAAAGGCTAAAGAAAATTAAAATCAAAGTGCAACAATCTGGAAAATGTTTGTTATTACTGATTTACCTGGGATGTTGATTTGTTGTTGTCATTTTTAAGGCTTGCTAAGGAAGCTGCAAAATCTACTACTTTGCCAATACTCCACTTACTGCAAAAGAACATAGGTTTGCTTTTCTCTTTGTTCCCCTTTGGTAAAAATACTTGAAAGTAAATTCTTTCTGTCTAGAAAAACATGACAAATAAAACAAAATTATTCACAGAAGAAAGAGGCAATTCCAGTCATACACATATAATAGTTTTGCAGTAAAAAACTTCAGTCATAAAATTACCAACTGAAACTTGTTCTATTCCATCAGGACCATTTTACTGCAGAATATAAATGACTGAGAGACTGAGATCATCAAATCCAATCCTCTCCAGCTGCAGGCACGTATATGATGGACTGTAAGTCTAAAAGGTGAAGAGACCATCTTTTGCCATGAGTCCTACAGCTACACTGTTATATATAGACAGGAAAAGGTATCTGCCCTCGGGAAAAAAAGGTGAGTTTTAATAAGCAGTAGTGGCTTTTGGCAGCAGTACAGTGTCTCAAATTGGAATGCAAAAGCAGTTAGAACAACTCCCTGAACAAGAATCTGGTCATAGTCAGCTAATCCTTTACCTGGTTTTCCTCGTTTTATGTACTAAAAACTCTTCCTTCTGACTGAAACATTTGTTTAAGAAATTTCAAGAGTAACATAAGAGAGATTTTGAACAGGACTGGGACAATCTCTTCTTCAGATTTATTTAAAGAGAAGACATAGAGCAAGCATGACTGCTACATTCATCAGGTAGGACTGCCCTTGCTGAATCCAAGCCAGACACTATCAAACATGACAGAAGTCTCTTTTTAAGGGTTTTATTTATGCCTTCCCTAGAAACATAGAACTACCCCAGTTATGTTCATAAAACTGAATCTGAATTTCAACTTGTGCATTTTCCTCAAAATCTAAGTGTGCTTGAGAAAAATCTTCAACATCCAGTAATATTACAAAGGGGCAAAGGAAGCAGGACCTGAATCTTGCTCAAATGTAAATGACCAGAACTTCTAGAACAGCCAATAAAACAGCCCTCCTATTATGGACATGTGCTAACATCACTCAATTGCTACCAGTGCCCCAGCACATTCCTAGTTGGTCCTCCAGTTCTAAGGATGATAAGATAGTTTCCCACAGTTCACAGGAACTTAATTCCCAAACCAGTTAATTCTACTGTTGCATCCCTGTAACTACAGGATATGCCTCCTGAAATTTCTTTGTCATATTCAAGAAAATACTGACCAATCAGGGACACAATAACTAACAATTCCATAGCATGGCCCTCCTGTTTTGAGCTGGTCAGTCTCCAGAGGGACAACGCTCATGAGGTCTGATATCAAAAGAAGCAATCACTGGCAAAAAGCTGATCTGAACAAAGAGGTCAGAGAAATGATATTTCTAAGATAGCAGGATTTTCCTGAACATAGAGTAAGAAAGGTGAGGAAGGACACTCTGGTGTCACATGGTCCAAAATCATGCTTAAATCAGGGGGAAATTTAAAGCTGGACTTGACTAAAAAGGTTGGTAAGAGGTTGCTCCAAGTCAGATTCAATCAAGTCTTGAATTCATCTCAAAGATGTTGATTCCACAAATTTTCAGAACGGCTTGTTCCAAAGTCTGACCATCCTCACTTTGTGATTTTTCTTCATAATACCTTAATTGGAATTTCACAAACATTGCAGCCTGTGCCCATTGACCCTGTCCTTTTGCTGTGCACCTCTAAGATAAATGTGTCAATCTTCTCTACATTGTGATAAGAGAACTAATATGCCTAAAAGGCATTCCAGAAACCTCATATTTAAAAAAATCTGTCATCAAACTAGAACAATCTAGGCAGAAAAAAGCTAAAAGCAGTCTAGGAAGCAATTTGAGAGGTGCTGAAGGATAACATACTTAATTGATCAGTGTTACAATTATTGATATTCTAGATGATTAAACATGGATGATTAAACAATTAATATCCAGGAAAAAATGTCTGGTAAGAGAAATTAGCGTACAGGAATTTGTGGTACACTATTTAGTTTACTGACTTTGGAATTAGGAAGCAACTTTAATTTTTTTTTATATATATTGAGAATGGTTTTTAAAGTTATGTTCCACAATATCTGAAATTACTTGCTTTCCCTCTAGCCCATATTTATTACAGTGGTACTACTTGTGAAGAATGCTACTGGAAGGTCTTTGTATTATGACATCTTCCTCAGCAGAGTTATGTGGTTTCTAAACAAGTATAAAGAAAGAAATTCATAAGAAGACTCAGCAATCAAATAGCTGTTGTTGTGTGGGGTTTTTTGTTTGTTTTTGTTGTTTTTTTTAAATATATAATTAAATTCCAGTGTATCTGGAATTTCAGGGTATCTGGAAGTGTTTAAGGCCACACTGGATGGGGCCCTGGATGGTGGCATGGTGGAAGGTGTCCTTGCCCATGGCAGAGGGGTTGGAGCTAGATGATCTTTGAAGTCCCTTCCAACCCAAAGCATTCTATGGTTCTGTGATATTATGAAATATACTCTACTAAGATAAAACCTAATAATAATACCATCATACAGAATGTTTTCAGTATTCTAAAAACAATATAACAGGCTTAAACTTGGTGGGCTCCAACACAGCAATGTGGCAAAAAAGTAATCTAAATACAGTTGTTTTAAGAGGATGCATAAGTGCAGATCTAAAGTGAAACCCTTGATGAAAGAACCAAGGTATTTCTAAACCCAACATAACATGGCATGCGAAAATACCTGAACACCAGGTGTGACTGACCTTGACAGTAAAAAGCAACAAGTAATCTCTGAAAAACTACAAAAATCAAAGAAAGTAAAGGCTTCACAGTTTACCTACCGAAAAACTACAGTTGCTAGTGAAGGACAGAGAAAAGGAGGAAAAACTATCCACAACTCTACCTAGTACCCCTTCCATAAATGGAAACTCCTTTAAACCACAAGGATATCCTAACTTATCTCTCCTACTAGAGAGCAGTATCAGGGAAACCAAGTGAAGGGATCAGACTGGCAGAGGTACAAGTGGCCCTACTCTCTGCCACTTGAGGCCATAGTAAACAATAAATTAAAGACTGATTTCTTCATGGATAGTGGAGCACAACTATTCATTATTGAAGCAGAATCCTGTCCTGGAGCTATCCCACTGAAACATCAGAAAATATTACTAACTGGAGTAAATGGAGCTTCTTATTCAAGAAGCTAAGGTAAAATTAGAACTTCCTTTTGTCTCTCTCCATCCCCCAAAAATAGCAAATGCAACCAGGAAACCTAAATAAGTTTGGTATGGCTGTTCTGTGGGCTGGATTCAGAGCAACACCAACTGGGCTATTGAAACAACTGATGAAGAAAGAATGCCAGGGCCCCAGACAAAAGGTCACCTTTTTGAGGGACCAAATGGATTGTGGGCAGTAAATAAGTCCCCTGGTCCACTTGGCAAATTGTTAAGTTGGACTTCCCCTCCTGAACACCCAAGGGGTGGCGTTATATCCTTACTGGAGTTAAAATAAGGTAGTTTTTCTTGCTGGAAAGCTGATGGTTTTACCACTCTGGCAGGATTTGATCTATGGTTTGCTGACACTCCCATGCCCTCTGCTGTGCAGTTTGATAATGGCATTCATCAAAAAAAAAAAAAATTAAAAATCCAGGAATGGTGTGAAGACCATGGAATTGTCTGGGTCCAGTTCCACCTGTCCTACAGACTTCAAAGTAACAGTGCAGTTGAGAAGTGGAAAAGCCTACTAAAATGAGCTCTAGGGCAAAGTTTCCATAGAGGAAAATGCAGTAAAGTCCTACTTAAATCTGTTAGATGCTTAAATAAGCAGACACCCACCAGATGCACGGTAGAACAAGCTCATTTTCTTCCTGTCTAACCAATAAAATGCCTAAACTTTCCCCCATCAGTCCATCATTTTTCTCAGGGTGACAATGTTCTTAGTAACTACCCTATGATGCCTAAAATATCTGTCACTTTACTAACTCCTTGAGTACAGGGCACATGGAAAACTTTATAAATGCAGACTTCCTTTAACTTTCACTGAGGTTTGGGTAGTTCTCAAGAATAAGAGATTTCCTAATGTTTCAGGTGATGAATGATAACTTTGATAGATTCTTTAGCCTGAACAAACCTGGAGTGTGCCCAAGGAATCGTGACTTCACCTTCGTAGAAACCTCAGCTGTAAAAAGATGATCACAATATCCACTGTATTTTACTGACCTTATGTGTACCTCCTTCCTCTCTGTTTCAAGAATGGGATGATAACTGTGTCATTCAGTTTATGAAGTTCATTTCTTAAATGGGTTTTTTACACATACAAATTGTATTGTTTACAACACCCTCCATCTTCAGATGCTGATACTGGATGGGTAGATGAACCTGCTCCTTAAACACCTTATTACCAACCTAAGTTGGTACCTACTTACTCCCCAACTCTCCAAATTATCAAACTCAAATGGTTAAGGCACATTCTCATGATAAAAATACATGGTACACTGCAAATGCCCCAACATATACATTCAGTCTGGGTGGGAAAACCAAGCAATTACATGTTTTGAGTCTAGATGATCACTCAAATATTACAATAGCAAGCCAAATATTAAGATTTGACCCAATGAACCAATCTGCAGAGGGTCCAGGTGATTAGGAACCATAAGCAGCTAAGATGTGTTATACAATTCTGTGCTATGCTACTTATAAAACTGTTACAGTGATTCTAAAAATCCTGTTCTACTCTAATAATAAAGTTCTTTGCTCTGCTGATCATGAAATTCTGATAAAATAATAAAGTTTTAATGCAATTTAAAGCTGTCATCATTCTACCAAGGAAAAGAACCTGTCTGTCCCCACAGTGTTGAGTGACAGCCATGTGTCAGGAAAATACATTTCTACTATAAAATAAAAAAATTGACCCAAACTCCACACAGACATCTTACAACAGACATAAGACTAGTGAGAGTGCTTTTGGGGACCAGGCTGAAATATACATATGTGATTGTGGTATTTAAAAATTAAATCCAAAACCAAACTGAAGGAACTAGATGAAGATTGAGAAATTTAGAGAATTTTCCATTTCCTCTGAAAATTCAATTATTGAAAACAAACATCACTGACCTGAGGTAAGGCCTTGTCCCCACATGCATGCATTTTCAGTTTCATTAATGCCACTTTTGCTGCAGTCTCACTGTTTTTTGCTCCTTTGCGTTTTTTGCTTTTTGCTTCCTCACTTTTTTTAGAATCTGAGAACAATATTATTCCTATTAGTGCAATGATTCAGATTGTTTCCTGAACATATCTTAGAATTAGCCTTTTGGGCCTCACTGTATCTCCAAGGTTCCCATCCCTTTCATGTCCATTCATGTCCTCCCAAGGTCATCTACCAGATACTCCTATTCAAGAGTATTTGGAATTGTTACAGCTCTAGCAGAACTCCTTTAGACTGAAAAGCAGATGAACACTGTCATGATGTACACACAGGCTGCAAGAGCCAAATAGAATTCAATACAATTCAAAAATTTCAACAACTGTGGCCGGCACAGCATTCGTATGACAGCAGTTTCAAGCCCTCCTTTCTACACAACCCCACTGTCCCGTTGGGCAGTTTTGTTTATTCTCTTTCCCATCCTCGAACTTTTTTAAAATCTGCAAAACATAACATTATAGGATCACTTTTTTTTTTGCCGTTTTTGTTGTGTAGGTGAAATCCTAACAGACTGGCATGCACACCCAATGCAATTGCATTATTTGCACATGAATCAATATGTAAATAATAATGACTAGGTACAGTTCATTACATTATAGTATTTGTAGAAGACAATACTTCTGAAAGAAACCTGAGTCCTATTTAATCTTTAAAGATTCTCTTCGTACTGTTGCTTCGCTTCAGCATAGATGAACAGTATTACATGTGAGTTTAGGGCTATTTAACCAAGGAACCCCCATCTTTTCTTATTTGGTTGAACCTGACCCCTTCAGAGGAGGTCAGAAGTTCAAATAGTCTTCTGAAGAAACTGCAGAATATGTATTCTGCTGTACTTGCCTATAATATCTTTAACTAGCTGCTGGGTGGTAGCCATTCGAGGTTTCGGCGTGTCCAGCTTCTCACATTCATGGTCTGATTGATGGCGATGTCTGTAAACAACAGCATAAAACTTTTAATACCTTCTCCATACTCTAATGAATGGGTATTTATGTTTAAACACTCTGTTCCACTCACCTTAGGCAAAAATGTTTTTCGCAGAAGGGACATAAAACTGGCAAAAGCTCCTTTCCATTACAGTCCTTGTATGAGCATGGGTAAGACCTGTGCTGGTCAGGTTTTACAGAATTGTTTCTTATATTCACCTAGGCATTAGTACAAAATATTCTGTGTAAATAAACAGACACTACAGATACAAGTCACCACCCATCTTTCCCAAAGAACTGTCCTAGCTCTCCATTCTATTCTCCTATTTTTGTCCTGGTTATGTTTAGCTCAGAGTTAGATATAGAACCATTACTCTACTCAGACTCAATTTACTTCCGAGAGGCAGAAAAAGAGTAAATTCATTTTTTTAAGCTTTTCACATTCACAGTTAAATAATGCATACTTATATATGTATTCATCTCACTTGTAGCAAGCATGGGTAGAGCCCCTCTCAAATCTTTGTTTGCAAAGCCTAGCCATGATATGTATTCATCTAGTCTGAAAATACACAGCTAAGTTGTATGGAATTTTAATTCTAAGGCAGGTCATATATTATTAGATTACCTCAGAACACCCATGAGCATCCCGGCTCCTGTGCTGAAGGCTTTGTGGAAAAAGAAGAAAAAGAAACATTTCAGGAAAAGAAAACCATATATGAAAACATTTAACTATTTAAAGAGTGATCTGATCAGTTTTATCATGAGAACACTTCAATTAGATAATGAATCTTCTACAAAGTTTGTTCTAACCTAGGAACTTCACGTCTTGAATGACTGACTGATCATACTCTTCCTCAGTTTGTAAAACATTTAGCTCTTGGAACTTAGGCCTCAAGTAAACAAACCATTTCAAGAGAATAAGGACATTAGTATGCTTAAGAATTCAGCTCAAAGCAACTTCAACTTGCGCCTTTCCATTTTAATGGATTTTCACTCACCATCCACAACAGCAGAAATCTCTTGAGGGCTTATGACATTTTAGAGGTGAAATCTGCCCTCGGTCTACCTGAGTTTAACTCAGTTGCCCTCTGCTAATCTGAAGTGTAAATCAAAGTGCAGGCCCCAATTTCAACCTTAGAAGAAACTTCAAATTTTTTTCTGGAACTAAAAATGACAAGCTTACTCATCGAGTTGACCTTGGGAAGCCCGTAGATGTGGTGTTTTGCATTTCAGCAAAGCTTTTGACACTGTCTCTCACAGCATCTCTCTGGACAAAAAGTCCTGCACACACTTAGACAATTCGATGGGTGGCTGATGGTTTGGGCTCAAAGAGTTATAATAAATGCAATTGCATCAGGCTGATGGCCAGTCACCAGCAGAGTTCCCATAGCTCAGTTTTAGGGCCAGTGCTCTTTAATATTTTATAAGTGATCCAGACACAAATTAAGTTTGCCACCAATACTAAACTAGGAGTAGCTGTGGAGCCCTGGAGGGTGAAGTCTTACAGACAGATTCTCGATAAACTAGAGACCTGGGCAGTCGCCAACTGCATGAAATTTAACAAGAGCAAGTGCAGGATTCTTCACCTGGGATGAGGTAATCCTGGTTATACATACAAACTGGGGGATGAGAGGCTGGAAAGCAGCCCTGCAGAAAGAGATCTCTGGGTTTGGGTCGATGGCAAGTTGAACACGAGCCAACAATGTGCCATGGCAGCCAAAAGGGCCAACCATGTTCTGGGGAACACCAAGCACAGCATTCCTGGGTGACTATCCCAGCTGTACAGTGCACTTGTGCAGCCTCACCTTGAGTACTGTGAGCAGTTTTTGGTACCACAATATAGGAAGGGTGTCAGACTATTAGAGTGTGTTTAGAGAGTGACCAAGATGGTGAAGGGCCTCAAGGGCCAGACTTAGGAGGAACAACTGAGGTCACTTGGTTTGTTCATCTTGGAAAAGACAAGGCTGAGGGTGACCTCATCACAGCTTCCTCAAGGGGGGCAGCAGAGTGGAAGGTGCTGAGCTCCTCTCTGGTGCCAGTACCAACATGAGGAAATGGAAAGAAGGTGCATCATGGGAAGTTGATGTTGAATATTTGGAAAAGGTTCTTCACTGAGAGGGTGGTGGGCATTGGAACAGGCTCCTCAGGGAAGTGGTGACAGCACCAAACCTGTCAGAGTTCAAGGAGTGTCTGAATGACACTTAGTCGTATGGTTTAGTTTTAGTCCTGTGCGAAGCAGGGAGTTGGACTTGTTGATTCTTATAGGATCCTTCCAATTTGAGGTACTCTAATGAGCTTACCAAAAGACACCTGAACAGCCATCACATATAAAGGGGAGAAAATCTGAAACAAAGAGATTTGTTTTCAGTTAGACAGCACTGTTTTTGTTTTGCTAGTAGTTTCTAGCTTAATTTTCATGGTTACCTTTTGCTTCCCTATACCATAGCATAGGTATCTTTACAAGGATATTCAGCAACTGCATCTACACTTTACCTAGAAGTGGCTTTTGTAATACAGTTACACTGCTAACTTCCCCAATCACTAGTACAGAAAACATATGAGTATCTAAATTATACTTACATACATTCCAGAAGTTGAAATTAGGCTTTAAATTAAAATTTTTTAAAATATCAAACTTTGATACTGGAACATTTGGCTAGCCATCAAACTTACCAGTTAAGTTATGCTAAAAATTTAATTTATTGTGAGACTACTCAGAATACTATGTACTGACATTGGACAACTTACATTTTTATTTTACAGGTTGCCAACTGGAGGAGATGGCTCTTTTAAAAGGGATAGCATCTCCTCCATTTGACAGGGCATGATGATCCTGCCCCTTCTTCTCTATCCTTCATATCATATCATATCATACATAGCATCCTTGTAATTTAAATTGCATGTATGTACACACCCCCTACTTACTGCATCAGTTCTTATATATAAAATCACTTTGTTGTCCGCTGAACTCAACCACATCACCAATGGCAGCAAATGCCCTCTACTCTAGCCCATTACTTCACTTCTCCATCCTTCAGATTTGATGTTAGGAGACTACCATGAAACTGGATTACAGAGCTCAGGTCACGACGATCTCAGTCACTTCATCCCTGAGACCGAGTGGTCCCATCAGAAAGCCTTCGTTACAAGCTGTTTTGCTGTCTCTTTCTGAGAGATCACATTTTCAGTGACACTTTCCGAGATCACTGAAGGCAAGTAAGGAGGAGGATCGGGAAAGCAGGGGAATTAACCACAAAGGGATACAGCCGAGACGACAGGCCCCGACACTGGGCCGCGGAAGGGCTGCAGCAGCACGGAGGACTCCCCGAGCAGGAGGGAAGCACCACACAAGCCCCGCACCGCCCCTGCTCACCACCCCCGCCTCCGCCGCGCTGTCCCTTACCGAGCTGGCGGCAGTCGGGCACCCCGCAGTGCTGCCCCAGCTCCAGCTCCGCCATGGCCGCGGGACGCTGGGGGCGGGCGGGGGGGCGGAGGAGCGGCGGCGACGGGCGGGGCCGCGCTGGGGAGGGGCCGGCGGGACCCGCCCCGGGGCGGGGATGGTGAGAGTCTGTCCGCCTGCTCCAAGCGGGAGTCGCAGCACAGACGGGCTGAGTTGGCTCCGTAGGATCGGGAGGTGGCACAGCGCCGGCAGGCGCTGCTGCCTTGCCGGCTTCGGCAGAACCTGCGCTGACGAGGCCATGTCGGCGCCTCAGATTCCAGTGAGCCCAGAGCCGCGGCTGGTGCTCCTTGGGCTGTTACAGGGGAAAACATGTCTCGTGTCTTGTTTCTGTCGCTGTTTGCGTCGTCCTTCGGGGCAGGGCCTCTACCCGAGGCGGATGGGAGGCAGCCCGGCTTTCCGAGGCGCTTCTTGCATCCTATGACCTGCGGTTTCCTTAGCGGCGCAGCCGCCAGTTTTGTAAAAAGCCACATTCCTTCAAAATTTGGTGTTATTTTCCCAGCCTCGACACGCGTGCACACCTGTGCCTGAGTGCGCTGTGCTCCCCAAACACACCTTCCTGCGGCCTGTGCCCAGTTCTATGCCTCTCATAACAAGAGAGACAAGAAGCTCCTGGAACCGATCCAGTGGAGAGCTACAAAGGTGATCAAGGGACGGGAGCATCTCTCTTACGAGGAAAAGCTGAGAGAGTTGGGCTGAGGAAGAACTTTACTGTGCAGGTGACCGACCACTGGAACAGGTTGCTCAGAGAGGCTGTGGAGTCTCCCTCGCTGGAGATATTTAATAACCGTCTGGACACAATCCTGTGCTCTAAGATGACCTTTAGAGGTTGGACCAGATGATCCACTGTGGTTCCTTCCAACCTTACCATTCCGTAATTCTGTGACACGGGGAAAAGATGTGGGGAAAGTGCAAACTCGGCAGCGGCCTCCGCAGCGCGGGCAGCACCCGCCAGGCCCGGGTCCCCACAGCCGCCCCGCGCAGCTCCCCGGCTCCTCCCGGGCTGGCGGAGGGCAGCGGCAGCTCGGCCTCCCCGGGGCCGCCCCCGGGCCCGCCCCGCCGCCAGGTGCGGTGCCGCCAGCCCTGGGCTCAGGAAGTGCCGTCACGGCTTGTGCCGGGCGGGAGGTTCTTGCGGGCCGGACCGGCCTGGGCACATCTTCTCGTCGGCGGGCGCCGAACCGGGGCCGCCGCCATGAGCAAGATCTCCAGGTTTTTCAAGGGGGGCGGCTCGGCCGCCTCCAAGGGCCGCGGGGGCCCTTCGCCGCAGGAGGCTCTTGCCCGGCTGCGGGAGACGGAGGAGATGCTCAGCAAGAAGCAGGAGTACCTGGAGACGCGGATCGAGCGGGAGCTGGCGGTAGCCCGGCAGCACGGCACCAAGAACAGGCGAGGTGAGTGCTGCCCTCCGTCCCCGCCGGGCTTGCAAGGCTTTTAATCCCAGGGCTGGAGCGCCTCTGGGTCCTGGGATCTGTTCGGAAGCGGGGACTCGGGTCTCGCCGAGGCTGTGGCAGGGCCGGGTCACCTGGCTCCGCAGGTGTGCAGTGTGAGTCGGCTGTGGGCTCCCAGCAAGTATTAACACACGCGAGGCGGGATGGTCTTTGGCATCTATTAGCATTTAATGTACTGTGGATTCATTACGGTGGGGTGGTAGTAAGATGCTTTATTCCGCACTGATTTACTGTCTGTGGCTCCCTGTGCGATACACAGGTATCGGCTGGATACACGGAACGCAAAATACTGCTATTCAATGTGGGGAGGGGATCAGAGCTTGGAGGTTGAGCATTGGTTGGGCGGGTGGAAAAGGAGTTGAAGGATGTGAGGATCTCCTGTATTCATGAATAAATGCATATTATCCCCACTGGTGGCAACTGAGGAACAAACTGATTCAGTGATTTGCTTCAAATCATATAGGATGTACATCATAAAACCAAAAAATGAATGATAGTTTAGAGCATTAGTGATTATTGGTCTGGGCTGCTGTTAGCTGCAAAGGAGAGGATACTAAGGGGTAATAAGGTCTGGCTCCTGCCTATACTGATGTTGTTGTCTCTGGGAAGCACATGATGGTAGTCTGTGTCTTGGGGATATAAAGGGCTTTGAAAAACAAGTTAATTACTTCCTGAAGTCAACTAAAGACCTGTTTGTCTACTCTGAGCTGTATTTTTATTTAAATGCTTTAAAACAGAAGGAAAATTAGAATTAAAGATTTCTGATGGAAGGACAAAGTAGCTTTTTGTCTGCTCTTTCTGTTACTTAATAATTAAAAAAATAATGCTATGTAACAGAACTAGTGAGGAGCTGCATGTTAGAAGTGTTTTGGTTAGCCCTATTATGTATTTATAATACTTTAGCATTTAATAACTATTAGCCAAAGGCAGTTTAACTTACCTAACTTTTAGTTAGAAAGGATTTAAAATCATGGGTCAAGATGGGACAGGTTGGAATGTACAGTCAGAGGGACTAAAGCCAGTTGAGCAGCACATCTAAGCCAGCTGCTCTGCAGCATGGGACCTGTCAGGGTAGTCACAATCCCACACTTTCTATTCCCCTGGCTTCAGCTGGAGTGTCTCTTGTTCTCTTGTCCAGGTACTGTCACCTCTCTGCTGTTGCAGTGAGCTAATTCAGGAAGGTGATACTGGAAACTAATTTGCTATGGGACAAAATGACCAGGTTGCTCCTGAGGCTGAGTTCATTGTGCAAAAGCCCAAGCTGCAGGGCTGATGCAAGAAAACAGGCTGGTTTTTTGACTATAGCAATTCCTGGTTAAATTCAGACATCCTACTCTGGAACTTTATCCCAAACCTGGACTATAAGCTGGCACATTTGCAGGAGGAAGAAATGCTTCCTGCCTTACTCTGGCCCCTGTGCTGCTCCCTTCCTTTCCCTTAGCAGAACTCCTTGAAGGGTGTGTTTCAGAAAGCTGGATGCAGCTGTAAAATATTGTGGGGCTTTTTGTCTGGGTTATCTTTTTTACACAGGCTAATTTAAGTCCTCCTTGTTCAGTTGACCTGGAAGCTGCATGGAGTGCTTGTGTACCTGCAAAGGAGAGGATGGTGCACAAGCAGGAATAAAAGCTTGTTGTTGGGAGAAGGTGAATTTGCTTCTCCTTTAACTCAGCTGGTTGTTGCTGGTTTCAGGTATTTGTTGGCCTGGTGCTTCAGGCATGCAGTGTTTGATATCTGAAGCTTTTCTTCCAGATCATTGTTTCCACTTCTGTGCTCAATATGCAGTTCCCCTGGTTTTTAATCTTTGAAATTGTTCATGAAGTGATGCTGCAAACTGAATTGTTGAGCTGATCATAGTTAAAAATAACTCCCTTTTATCTGGCCAGTTGCTCAGGTACCAACACTTAAGGACAGTTAAGAGGCAGGAGCAGGGCATGAATTGCAGTGTGTCAGTTTTTCCATGCAAAAAATGGTTCTAAAGCCAAAATGAAATAATGTTAGTATAGTCAGAGGAGAAACAATATAAACTCACCTTGCTGTGCCAAAGTGCTTGAATTAGCAGGATATTGAGTGAACTTAAATCCTTGATAATGTCTTCATTTGATACGTGAATTGCTTTACAGTTTAATTGCTGTTGATTTACATATAACAACATATTACATACGGCCTACTGTACTGTATAGTTCAGAGAAAATCTGTGCTAACCAGCACAAATGAGAGAATGAAGGTTTTAATCTACATTGCCTTGTTAAAGGGAATGTTTCAAAGGGACCTCACAGGTAATTTTTAATGTGGGGGTGATTTTTTTCTTGATTTTTAATTTTTGTTTTAATTTTTCTTAATTGCATCTGTAGAGAAGCCTGTGGAAACTGAAATGCGACTGCTCAAGACTGGAGTAAGATTTCTATCTAGAGATAGAAAATGTATCAAATCAGCATGATCTCATTTGATTTTTAGGTGCATGAGTCTGAGTCAGTAATACTAACACGAGAGAGGGCAGATTCAAGCACCAGCAATTTCTCATATGTGTTCATATGACTCTTGAATGGGTTCATGTGACATCAGTAGGCTTTACTTGATGTAAAAGCTGTAATGCATTAGCTATGCAAACAGATGTGAAACATCACTTAAATACTTCTGGCTTTTCCTTTATGAAGCGAATATCTCCGCAGTTCCTGTACCTAGTCTGAAATTGGCTATTAAATACATTTCCAGCATTCCCCATTAATATCTTATTGTGGCTAGATGGCTTCAGGGTTTTTGAAGCAACAGTGTTTGTTGGAATTTGTCCTGCAGAGGTTGTGATGATAAACAGTATTTTTTTTCACAGTTAACACTGCCTTTTAATCTCTTCCCATTCCACACACGCTTTTTGTGGGAATTTTTTGTTTGTTTGTTTTGTTTTTACCTCTTTCTGTACTTTTTGGGGTATCTCAGTTTCAGTCAGTGCACAGCTGCCAACTCCATCAATGAACTGGCCTTTCTTCTCCATTATTTTGAAGGTCATACAGGAGAAATTAAAGGACAGAAAGTGATACTGAATATTTGAAAACTGTTTAAAAGGAAATGTATTTTCTGAAGTGCAGTGGTAACTGTGAAGATAACATACATATGAATGTGTGTCACAGATGGTAAAAAAACCCAAAACCAAACTAAAAAAAAGAATAAAGTTGAGAGAAACCATCTAGAATAGGATTAAATTTCAACTGTAAAGAACCACCTCGTACTACTAAGGACAAAACCTTAGAAGAAAGTTGAAATAGCAAGGGGGGGTTTACAGGTAGATGCTGCTAACTATGTTGTGTGTTATGTTCATGCAGTGCTTATGTAGCTGTGTAGCATTCCTTTTCAGTGAGGTACTTGTAACCAGGAGGCCACTGAAACCAAACAACTGTGTGGCAGTTGTGTGTGCTATGGACAGAACAGTCATGCCTGTGGCAGGGTGTGGGGCAGACTGGGAATGAGGGTTTCTGGCAGGGAAATACGAGGAAGCCCTTAGTTTTGTCTTCGTTCTGCGGGTTGCAGCAATTGTTCTTTGATCTTCACGATCGTGTTTCAAGTGTCTTGCCATGAACTGGAATACTTATAACCAGTTCAGTATATTATTGCT